CCCCCCCCCACCTACAGAGAGGGGCGTTTTTCTCCCTGAGCCGAGGTTGTTCCACCCAGACCCTCCTCGACTTACGATTCAGCACCATTTATGTCGTTAAGGGAGGCACTGTGGGGCAAGGGAGTTTTGCCCCGTTTTACAACACGGCCGGCCTGCTGCCTCCCCTCGGCTGGATAGTCTCTCCGCCCCCCAATCTCCCCCCCGCCCAGAACTCACAGCCTTGTTTGTGGAAGGGTTTCCCCCCCGGAAGCTGTGGGGGCTCCGTCCATCTTCAAGAAGAGGTCGGAGTGGGGTTTGTCCCGGACGGAATAGGAGAAGGGGGTCCAACCTTGGGAACCTTTTAAGGCTTGTGGACTTCAACTCCCAGAATCCCCCAGCCAGTGTAGGAGTTGACATCCACCAGGCCTTGACGTTGCTGTGCTGACTGAGGAATTCTGGGAATTGAAGCCCACAAAGTTCCCCATCTGGGACTCTCCTGGCCTGGGGCCTTCTGCAGGGGGGTCGGTCTAGAAGACCTCCAAGGTCCCTTCCAACGCTGTGATTCTCTCTCCCCCCCTCCAGAATGATCCCTCCCACGAGCAAAGGCTTCCTGATGAAGGACCTGGCTGCCGGGCGGGGCTACCACCTCTGCGTCTTGGCCATCTACGACGACGGGGTGACCTCGCTGACCGTCACCCAGAGCCTGGGCTGCCTGCGCTTCAGCACCCTGCGGGACGGCCTGCAGTGCCACGCGCTCCACACCCAGTTCCTGGGGGGCACCATGATCATCGTGGTGGGGGGCATCATTGTGGCCTCGGTGCTGGTCTTCATCATCCTCCTCATGATCCGCTACAAGGCCTCCAGCGGCCGCCCGGAGGAGCCCGAGAAGAAGGCCGCCAGGGTCAGCAACGTCTACTCGCAGACCAACGGCAGCCACCCACCCGCCGGGCTGCCCTGCTCGGCCTCCAGACACGAGGGGTGGGAGCCAGACAGCGGCCGGGCCAGGAGGGAGCGTGGCCTGGGGGCGCTGGCCAAGGACTGTGCGAAAGGCGCCCGGCCCCCCTCCTCTGAGGAGGAGGAGGAGGAGGTGGTCCCGTCCCCCCGGCGGAGGCGGAGGTGGTCCCGGACGAGTCTCGACTGCCCCCATGGAGGCCCCGAGGACCCCCGAGCAGAAGAGGAAGGTAAAGGGGGGGCAGGCTGCTCCTGAGGTAGCCCTCGACTTGTGACGGTCCATTTAGTGACCCTTTTAAGTCCCAACCGCTTTTCACCCTTCGGATCCTTTCAGCATCTCCGTGGTAGCAATGGGGCTTAGGCTTCTAGGCCGCTTCCTGTGCTGGTTACCTCCTGTTGACCCCCCCCTTTCCCTGCCCCCCCCGGCTTTCTGCAGACCCCCCGTTAGCGCTCCCAGCCGAGGAGGGGAGGAAGGCCAACGAGTGGACCGGCGTCAAGATCTGAGCCCTGGCAGTCGGCCGTCGAAGAACGGAACCGGAACCGGAGTCCCCCAGGTAGCAGCCCCTCCCTCTGCACCCTCACCCCCCCCGACCCCCCGATTGCCAGGAACTATGGGGCCAAAGCAGGAGGGGGGGTGCATTTGAAGAGGGCAGCTGATTCCTCTGCCTGGGGGGCCTTTCACCCAGCACCCCAGCGCTCCTCCTTTCCTATCCGAGGGGGGGGGTTGCTGCCATGAAAAATGGCTTTTGGTGCCTGGCCCCCCCCAAAAGAAAGATTTGGGGGGCTGCAGTGGGGCAGAGCCACAACCCACCCCCAAATTCATGCAGGAGCCCAAAGGGTCCCAGATTGCAGCGACACCTTGTGCAAACCCAGGTGACAATGGCAGTTTATTCCATAAGCCACAGTTAAGCCACGATGCGGTGTGCTAGGTGAACTCAGTCTGCATTCCAGGCTCGCAAGGAAGCCAGACTCTGCCGGTTTCTCTTGCAGGCTGAATCCGGAGTTGGCGCCGTTCCTCAGCTGTCCCACCACACGGTGCCGCGGTCCCCCCAGGAGACCCCCCCCAACTCACCTGCCTCTTCCTTGGGGGGGGGAAGACCCTGGGGTCTCACCTCGGCCTTTCGGGCCTCTTTCTACTGGACTCTCTTCAAGGCCCGTTTTCTACAAAGTCCTTTTGTTTTTCTAAGCCACACCTGGAATTTTCTAATAAACGGAGGTGAAAAACAGGGCGGGGTTCTTCCCAGGGAGGATGCTGGTCTCTTTTGGCAGGTATTTGGGGGGGGAGGGGAGGGGGGGGCAGAAAATGCAAGGAAAGTTAGTGAACCTTCAGAGTTACAACCAGTCTCTTCAAGGCTGCTCACACCCCAGGTTCAAGATTATGACGACCCCCCCCAGCTGTCACCTAATTGGGGCACTTGGCAACCGGCAAAATTTACGGCCATTGTGTGGCATTCCTCAGTCTTGTGACCACAATTTATGATTTATTTGGGG